GCATGATGTCAGCTTTTTATTTGAGCTGGAGATCTGAGTTTCATGAACACCAATGAATTACTTAACAAGTAACTCTGAAACTGCAGAAAACCCTCCGTTTACCCTCCAGCAGGTCTGATGAAGTGGGACTAACGCACAGATCAGTGTGTGGTGAGTTGCAGGCCCAGCCTTATACTGCGCGCTGCATCGTGTGTTTATATGCAGGCGTGTTCCCATGAACAGACATCCTCCCCTGCTTTGTTGTTCCTGCCTCGTGTTGCTTCCAGAGGCCCAGTGCATTCGTAGAAACGTGATAAGTTGTGGAAAAAAGCTTTACTTGCTGTGTCTGTTTCTGAGAAACGAGACGTTATCATAACCTATTCCAGAGAGAGGCTTAATGTAAGAATAGGAAGCACATTAAGCCAAAGTTTATTAAAGCGGTCTTGTCTCTCTGACAGTCAGAAAGCCCCGGGCCTCAGCTGTTTCTATTGTCAGTATCACTTGTGTGAAGACGTGTTTTCTGTGTGTGTCTTAAGGCTGTCATCACTGGTCTCAGACACCCATCAGCTGGATTTCCTCTCCCGCTTCGTTTACCCACTTTGCTAGTTACAGTGTCACGTTTCTTTACAGCTGTGCCTGTTGCCAAGGTGACGTGAGGAGTGAATGTACAACAGGAGAAAGCCCGAGTGAGGAACACCTAAGTGGTTGTTAGTGGATTAGGAAATGGATCTGAATGAATGAAGAGGCTCAAGCTTGGCTTTTGTCACATTTACTGAAATGCTTTAAAGGTGCTGAGCAGGAACAAACCTTAAACCACAATCTTTTGTAAAGCTTGTGAAATATTAGGAAACAAATGTTCTGAGTGAAGACGTGCGTTTCGAAGAAGCCTCAAGACCCGTGTCGTCACATCTTCATCACTATTATTCTTTCTTTCCGTAGCTTCTTTCTAAACCAGAGCTACAGGGTGTTTTTATAAGTAGACATGTAATAATTAATGAATGTTATCTTTAAAAACTTCTTTTATTCTTTTTAAACAGAGATATAAGTGGTTTGCTCTAAAAGTCAATCTAATCACTGAGGCTAAAGATCGACTGCATGCTCCCCCTTTGTTTTAAGCCTGGACACGTAGCAGTTCTCTGGGGGGTCTGGGGGCCGTACAGGGTGTTTGGAGATTTCAAGGTAATCAGCAAAAAACTAAATTTGACTAAATGGGAAGCTCATAGTGTTTTCCATCAAACTGCATCATTTAGGCATGCATGCAATGACTTCCAATAATCCTAATGATCTGGAGGTATTATTCAGAAGCAGAGATGGACAGTAA